GTTTTTACTTCTGTGCTTTTCAAAAATAATGATCACAAACCACTGACATTCTTTCTTGTGTTTTTGAATTATTAACGAATATGAAACGATGCAAAATCACTGTAATTCTGTTGGGATCTACTAGCATTCCCGCTGGAAGCCCCATGAATATGATTTTCCTGGCTTGTGATTGTTTATTTTTAGAGCAGCCACACATGGTTTTCTCGCTTGCTCTGTACATTCTAATGAGAGCGTCAGGCTCTCGGCTTGCTGGGAATTTCACATTCGGCCGTCAGGTTAGTCTTTACAGTGAAGAACAACACAGTGTTCGGTGCAGGAGAAAACATTACCGCCAAACACAAACTGCCTTCCATAAATACTTGAGCTTAGATTCGTAATCACTTTTTTAATGGCTCTTAAAAATAAGAAATAACACCTTTTAACACATTTTCATGTTTTCAGTTGTTTGGGATTTTTAAAAACAGAGAGAGAGAGCATAGGCCATTTCTGCCTCATTAATTATATTAAAAGCCAGTAATAAGTGCAAAGTAATACAGGTTTTCTACAGTCTATGGATTCTCCATTTCAAGACAATGTGAAGTTTATAACTGTATAAGCCAATTCATCATTTAATTAAGCGGTAAACCTTGCGTTACAGTGCTTATGTGACAATGAAGGGCTGTTATTGGGCACAACCCAAGGCAGATTATTGCTTTTGTAAAACGGTCACAATAGCTTTATGACAAAAGCTTATATATTTATTATTAATAATAATAATAGGTTTATTAGGTTGCCAATTTTCCAACCAGAATTTTCCAAGTCACAGTCTAGGTTTTCTTTGGCACTGTGGATTGTCATTTATGGATTTTTTTTTTTTTTTTATATTCACAACATTGTTTTGTAATCATGCATGTATACGGTTGTCACAGTATGATAAAAAAGTACCATGAAAATAAAACTACAATAGCCTCTTTATTTTGTCCTTTTCTGACAACCACCCAACATCAGTCGAAGAACGATCCCAGCAGACCTTTAATCATACAGTCAACAAACAAATCACTTCACATGACACTTCTGCCGACTACAAAATGCGCAGGTAGTAACAGGTGCTGCTGGCATATTCTCAGCGTCTACTAGAAAGTAGTGAAAAAAGAAGAAATTAAGCAGTTCTTGTATTAGAAACTGTATATTTAAAGGGGTCATATGATGCGATTTCAATTGTTCCTTTCT